ATCCCACTGATGTTCTTGACATCTTTGGTAATAGTCATTAGAGATGCACAATGTTCAAATACAATAAATAAAAGAAAATATCTCAAGTGTTTTAATTTAGCCATATATATCAATAATAACAACATTTTGTGAAAGAGGTAACATGCTTTATGTGGCATGTTAAATTGGGTAACAAGCTGAAAAAGTTTGGGAACCACTGCTGTAGGGGATTTACTGGGCTTGTGAAAGTGGGGGGGGTAGAGTGTAAGGCTGTCTGCTGAAGACATAGGGGGTCAGGGGTTGCAACGGGTTTGCCTCTTGGGGTGTGTGAGGTGTGATATGTGGTCGTGCGTGAGCGGAGATGTGTTGAGTGTCCGTTGTAACGTCTCCCGCCAGTGGCCTGAGGACCGAATATTTCCCATTAGTGGATGTTGTTATATGGTCTATTGTATTTACATGTCTCTACCATTTTTCTATGTTGCTTTCATCTTTCATTGTTAATTAATGTTAGGATGTGAGTAAACCATACCCCCGGCAATCGTGTCATTACGATTTCTTGAGTCAGGATGTGAGTAGGTTGATGGGTGGGAAACACAACCGGAGGTGGGGGAGTTTTCCCGCCCGTATGTGCAGGTGTGAGTTTACGTTACAAAAGGTTTTCATACCTACTGAGACTCAATTATGTGTGATTTATATATTTCCATGTTGTTGTATTGTATTGGTTTTAATGATACATACCTAAACCAAGAATGGTGGTTGAGGCTTGTGCAAGTAGTCTGTGACCGCATGTTGCCCAACCGTGGATGGTATGCTAACTGGACTGTTACTGTATATATGTAATCATTTCTGACGGTTGTTCTTCATGTTCCTTGTAAAACATGTCAGGTTTAGAACAAGTGTACGGGTGGGGTCAAGGGGGGGAGGTATAGTTCCCACACACAGCTGTACATGTTGTGTGATTTTAGGCAACAGACAGTTATCATCCCTGTTCTAGGTCAGTTTATATGGAATTTTATTTATTTATTTTGATGTTTTTAAACGTTTTAAATAAAATATATATAAAATGCATATGCTGAATGTTCAAGACAGAGGTAAAACTGAAGTCAAAGTTTATAAAATTGCTCACAGTGTACAGAATATCTTGGTGCCAGTTTTGTCAAGGTTGGGAACCAACATAATCATAAATACACATGTAATCTTCCCTTATTCCTAGAATATCTCCTTTATGGTATAATAATAAGATATTATCTCCTACATTGTATAATAATAAGGTATTAAAATGACCCCAATGAAAATAAATCACTTTGACTTTTTGGGTAATTCTAGGTTCGCTACACATATACTGCTTTGTATGATAATCTATGTAACTATTTGTGTATACCTGAATAAACTTACTTAAGCTTAAGTTAAACTTAAGACTATAGTGGCACTAATTATTATTTGCTTATATTTATGCAATAAAGGTGTACAAACAACAAATTAAGATATATATATATATATATATATATATATATATATATATATATATATATATATATATATATATATATATATATATATATATATATATATTATATAATATTATATATAATATATATATATATATATATATATATATATGAATAACAGGAAAAGTTAGTAGATGGATCTTTAACTTCCTAACAAACAGAACACCAAGAGTAATAGTAAACAGAGTAAAGTCTGAGGCTGCTACAGTAAGAAGCTGTTCCACAAGGTACACCACTCGTGCCCATCTTGTTATTCATCCTCATATCTGACATAGACAGAAATGTATGCCACAGCACTGTGTCTTCCTTTGCGGATGACACCCGAATTTTCATGACAGTGTCATCCATCGAAGACTCCGTAAGACTCCAAGTGGACATCAACCAAATTTTTAAATGTGTTCAATGAATACAAATTTCAGTTACTCAGCTGTGGAAAACTCGAGGAAATTAAAACTGTATCGGAGTATAAAACGAATTCCAACCACACAACAGAGCGAAAAACTAATGTGAAGGACCTGTGAGTGATAATGTCAGAGGATCTCACTTTCAAGGATCACAACTATGCATCTACCACGTCTGCTACGAGAATGATTGGATGGATAATGAGAACCTTCAAATCTAGGGACGCCAAGCCACTGATGATTCTCTTCACATAGCTTATTTTCTTTAGGTTGGAGTATTGCTCTATACTAACGGCCTCTTTCAAGGCAGGCAAAATTGTGGACCTGAAGAATATACAGAGAACTTTCAGGACACGTAATAGTACGATAAAGTACCTAAATTACGGAGAATGGTTGAAGTCCCTCGATTCGTACTCCCTGGAATGCAGGCTAGAAAGCTACATGATAATATGCACTTGGAAAATCCTAGAGGGACTAGTCCCAAATTTTCACACAAAAATCTCTGCCTACGAAAGCAAAAGACTCGGCACGCAGAGCGACTCCCCCCCCCCCTTTTAATGAAAAGCAGGGGTACCAACCATGAGTATGCTAAGACAACGCAATGTGTCAGGAACCCAAGACTGTTCAACTGCCTCCCAACATACATAAGGGAGATTACCAGTAGACCCCTGGCTGTCTCTTAGGCGCTGGACAGGCACCTACAGTCAGTTCCTGACCTGCCGGGCTGTGGCTAATTCGCTGGTTTATATGCGGCCAGAAGTAGCAGCCCGGTTGATCAGGCCCTGAACCACCTCGAGACCTGGTCACGGACCGGTCAGTGGGGGCATTGGTCTCCGGAATCCCCTCCAGGTATACTCCAGGTATCACTATTTTTTTAATAAAATTTGCAAATTGAGACTTACTTAACCCAATAACTTGAACCTTTCATTGAACAAATTACACCAGAGCTAAAAGTTTGAAACAGAGAGCAAGATGCATTCTACAGTTATTACATAGCATTCATTAATTACAAGTTTAATTAGTGTGTGTTAGTACAGTGATCAACTTGCACCTACGAATGCTACAACTATTGATTACAATCCTTCAACTAAGATGGATCAAACATTAAGGACCAAGTCGCTCAGATGACCTGACCTGAAGCACTTATTGATAGTTACAACAGGACCCATTAACATAATATTAGACACAAAAATCTATGACATGCCCATGTTTGGCTTAACCTTTGTAAAAATTCAATGTGCATAAAAGGACCAAAAATCTGGAACTTCCGCATTAGTCACGATATATGGAAAATAATACCTCACACATATATATAAAACTGACGAATTGACATCTATACACTCTTACATGAAGTTAAATATGGGTATAACATTAATCATAATTATTAAAGGGGTGGACCGGTAAGCCGGCTGAAGGCCTCGGTCAGATGACCAAAAGCTCCAACTGTAGGTCATCATATGACTAAGATCCACGTTAAGGAACTTTTGTCATGTTTCCTGACAAACATTATACCTACCCACACACTCCACTACAGTCCCTTCTATGTAGGATACACCAGTGCTGAAAGTTTGAAGCCTACCAGAAGAGGCTTTCCCAAGTTATTGCATGGAAACCAGAACCGGGACTGTTACAACACTGACCAGAGAGCACCTACACATTCCAGGAGCTGAGTGAACCTTTCACTAATTAAAAAAAAAAAATTGAAATTTGAAGCGAATCTGACGAGGCTTTCTTAAGTTAATAAATAAAATCCTTAGTGGCAGTTTGAGAAGTGCAAATGGATAGATATTTAACTTCCTAATTAACAGAACCCAAAAAGCAATAATAATTAATAAAATCAGAGGCTGCTACGGTGAAGAATTTTGTTCCCTGAGTCACTGTAGTCACTGTAGTCACTGTAGTCACTGTAGTCACTCCACTCCTCTATCTCAGTCTCTTATCTGACTGACACAGACATAAAGTACTGCACTGTATCATCCTTTTTAGACGATACTAGAATCATCGAGGCCTGGTCATGGACCGGGCTGCGAGGGCATTGACCCCCGAAACGCCCTCCAGGTATACTCCAGGTGTACTCCAGGTATATTCCAGGTATACTCCAGGTATACTCCGGGTATACATGGGAGAGAGACATCCGTAGAGGACACAGCGAGTTTCCAAGGTGATATCTACCAAGTCTTCCAGTAACCTATTGACAATAATATAATGTTCAAAGAGAACAAATTTCAGTTACTAAATTACTGAAGGATTGAGAAAATGAAAAAATAGATCAAGATAAATCACAGAGTAGAGCGTAAGTTTAATGTGAGAAACTTGGGAGTGCAAATGTAAGATTTCACGTTTAACGAGTACAACAATGTCATTATCGCATCTGCAAGGAAAATAATTGGTTGGATAACTAGAACTCCGGCATAGAGAGAACGAAAGTTCTCTCTAGACAGGAATATTGTTGTGTACTAACGGCCCCCTTCAAAGCAGGTGCAGTTACAGAACTGGAAACTATGCAGAGAAACTTCAACTTACGTAAAGACTCAATCAAGCACCTAAATTACTGGGAGTACTTGAATTCCCTCGAACTGTATTCCATAGAACGTAGGCGAGAAAGATATCATCATAGACTACACCTGGGAGATTTTGGAGGAATTGGTCCCAAACCTGCACACTGAAATAACTACATATGAACACAAGAGGCTTAGCAGACGGTGCAGGATACCTCAGGTGAAAAAGTGGGCACCGTTGAGTATACTGACAGAGAATTCAGCAAGTGTTAAGGGACCACGATTCTTAAACATCCTCCATTCATGCATATAGGGGATTATCAACAGACCCCCCCGCTATTTTTAAGGAGGGAACTCGACAGATTTTTCAAATCGTTTTCTGATTAAGCGAGCTGTGGTTAGCGGGCATCTACAGTCTGATCGATCAGGCCAGCAATCGAGACACCCGGATGGAGGTCACTGCGGGGGTAGTGACCTCGCGAAGCGACCGTAGGTACCCCTTTGGAAATACCTAATGAATCTCTTGTAGTCGATAGGCCTCAAACCCAATAAACCACCCATTCTTCGCTACAGCATATCACCTTCGTTTAATCTGGCTTTTTTTTTTTTGGCAGGTCAGAAGTTCGCGATGATAGAGGAGAAGATCATAGTGAGCAGCATCCTTCGTGAGTTCCGCGTTGAGAGTATCACCAGCGGAGATGATCTCCAGCTTCTTGGTGAACTTATTCTCAAGCCTAAGAATGGCAACTTGATCAAACTCTTCCCCCGAGCAAACCAGAACCAAGAGACATGAAGCCCACTCCTCCCACACTCCCCCGACTAACTTTGCTAGGATTAAATCTTATTGGCTGCAATTCAGTCATCAAGGTTTCATTTAATTTGCACAATGACATTAAGCATAATATCTAATAGATGTTAAGGTAAACTCTGGGTATATTCACTGAATAAATAACTTTTAGATAAGCATACTCTGTTTGCACACCTTAATAAGGTCACAGTAAACAGGTGATATCACAATATGCAGAACAACCACTGTGGACAAATAATAGAATTCCAAGTGCTTTTGTGATTTCTCACATTATCAAGGAAATAGAAAAAAATCAACAGGGAGACATAAAAGGAACGAGACTACACCTCACATCCACCACACAACACTTGACTTTTTATGATGATGTAAGCATTAAGAAATTAACTTGTCAAATGTATTTTAAATTCTTCCCACATTTTAATAATTATAAACGAATCCAATTTGTAAAACCCTATAAACCAAAAGCAATATTCATATTATTTTCAAAAGATTATTTTTTATGAACCTTGATTGTATTATGTTCCTGTCGACCATAGACTTGTTACATACAACCTCAGCTTTTTGAAAATTAATTGGACGGTGAAAATCTCTCACATGAATAAACAGAGCATTGGAATCTTGTCCAGTTTTAATGCCATATTTATGATGTTTTAATGTTAGTTCGAGACTTTTACCAGTTTGACCGTAATAAACTTCATCACATATTTTACAGAGAATCTTGTAGACACAACCGTTAATATTTCGGGGGGAATTTTTTATCAAAAGTTTTTTACTGTATCAAGATTTTTAAATACAACTTCTTAGGTATTTTATATCATTAGTTATTTCATAAATTTTTGATATTTCTTCATCTATGAATTCTGGACTGCAAATACACGAAGCTCCCAAAAACATTGACGAGAATATCGACAATTTAACTTTATCTTGAAGTGAAGAATAATACTGTATATTGTTGCTTTTTTGTAAATTTTAAATTTAAAATTATGGTTACCTGTAATAATTAAAACTCTAAAAAAGGCAATGAGTTATTATGTTGAAATTCAACAGCAAATTTTATGGAATGAGTTACATTATTTAAATTAACATGGAAATGGTTTATATCTATATTCTTAGGCAAAAGACATGAAATATCAACAATATATATACATTATATATCATTATAATATATATATATATATTATATATTTTATGTGATGTGTGTGTGTGTGTGTATACATTGCCTTCCTTTGATGTATTACTTTCATAGTTCCTTGACAATGTGAGTAGTCACGAAAGCGCTTGGAATTTCACCACTCTTTCACAGTGGTTGTTTTGCATATTTTAAATCACCTGTTTACTGTGATCTTATTGTATAATATATATATATATATATATATATATATATATATATATATATATATATATATATATATATATATATTATATATTATTATTGTAACAAGTGGTCTTTAATCAACAACAACACTACGACTAGCCGAGGATTCGAACCCGTGCTGTTTTAGACCGCCTCACGGTGAGCGAAAATTCACGATGCTCTAACCCACTGGACCATATAATCCTACAATCCATGGCTAGTCGCACGAACGATCAATACCGCTCGTTCGTGGACACAGTAATATAAAATACTGCTCGTTGAACTAGTACACCAAACAGGGACTAGAATGAAATTAGCCTACACAGATGTCTGGAGTCTGTAATTATCACGTTTTCCAATACCATTAATCAGACTAATGGCATGTTCCCCTTGGCTGCACTCATCTCCCAGCCCTGGAGAGGGCTTCGGCGGTCAACGCCCCCGCGGCCCGGTCTGAGACCAGGCCTCGTGGTGGATCAGGGTCTGATCAACAGGCTGTTACTTCTGGTAGCACGCAAAATGACGTACGAAATACAGCCCGGCTGGTCACGTACTGATTTTAGGTACCTATCCAGTGCCTTCTTGAAGCCAGCCTGGGGTCTATTGGTTATCCCCCTTATGTATGCTGGAAGGCAGTTAAACAGCCTTGGGCCCCTGACACTTATTGTGTTGTCTCTCAGGGTACTCATGGCGCCCCTGCTTTTCATTGGTGGAATGTTACATCTCCTGCCGAGTCTTTTGCTTTCATAAGGAGTGATTTTCGTGTGCAAGTTCGGTACTAATCTCTCTAGGATTTTCCAAGCGTATCTTATCATGCATCTCTCTTGCCTGCATTCCAGGGAATACAAATCAAAGGACTTCAAACGTTCCCAGTAATTTAGGTGCCTTATCGTACTTATGTGTGCAGTGAAAGTTCTTTGTACACTCTCTGGGTCAGCAATTTCGTCTGCCTTGAAGGGGGCAGTTAGTGTACAGCAGTATTCCAGCCTAGAGAGAACAAACGATCTGAAGAGAATCATCATGGGCTTGGCGTACCTAGTTTTGAAGGTTCTCATTATTCATCCTATCATTTACCTAGCAGAAGCGGTAGGTATATTGTTGTGGTCTTTGAAGGTGAGATCCTTTGACATTATCACTTCCAGGTCCTTCACATTACTTTATCGCTCTATTATATTGTTAGAATTTGTTGTATACCCTGATAGAGTTTTAATTTCCTCAAGTTCTCCATATCTGAGTAGTTGAAATTTATCTTCACTGAACTTCATATTACACAAATAACCCGCACATAGTAGAGAGGAGCTTACGACGACGTTTTGGTCCGACTCGGACCATTTACAAAGTCACACTAACGAGGAGAGCAGGATGGGTCCAAGTCGGACCGAAACGTCGTCGTAAGCTCCTCTCTTCTATGTGCGGTTTATTTGTGTATCGTTCCAGTCACGGTATTGTGTTTTTTTTTGTTATTTAACTTCATATTGTTTTGAGTGGTCCGTTTGAAGATTTGGTTGATGTCCGCTTGGAGTCTTGCAGTGTCTTCGATGGAGGTCACTGTCATTGCAATTCGGGTGTCTTCCGCAAAGGAAGACACGGAGCTATGGCTTACATCTCTGTCAGCTATGAGGATGAGGAATAGGATGGGAGCGAGTAATGTGCCTTGTGGAACAGAGCTTTTCGCCGTAATTGCCTCGGACTTTACTCTGTTTACTATTACTCTTTGTGTTCTAATTGTCAGGAAATTATAGATCCATCTACCATCTTTTTCTGTTATACCTTTATTACGCATTTTGTGCGCTGTTACACCATGGCCACACTTGTCGAAGGCTTTGCACTGTGTGTACTACATCTGCATTTTGTTTTTCCTCTACAGCATCCAGGACCTTGTCAAAGTGGTCCAGTAGCTGAGATAGGCAGGAGCGACCTGCTCTAAGCCCGTGTTACCCTGGGTTGTGTAACTGATGGGTATCTAGGTGGTTGATGATCTTCCATCTTAGAACCTTTTCAAAGATCTTTGTGATATGGGATGTTAGTGCTTTCAGTCTGTAGTTCATTGCAATTGCTTTACTGCTACCTTTGTGGAGCGGGGCTGTGTCTGATGTTTTTCCTGAACGTGGGATGGCTCTTGTGTCCATGCTCCCTCTCCATAGAAAGCTGAAGGAACGTAACAGGGGCTTCTTGCAGTTCTTGATGAACATCATTAAAGCAACTCAAACCTAAAACTTAGCGTAGGCCAGGTCTCCTGCATCTTCCATTTGGCATCAATCACTGAATATGCTATTTAAGAAGTGTTTCCGCGCTTTCTATGTGCTTGTCGTGGGTGAGGCATTTTACCAATAAAAGATTCTTCGCATTCAGAGTTTTCTTACCATCGTATTCAAAATCTTCGCTTTTTCGTTTATTACTTTGGGTGCTGGAGCACTCCGAGGCAGTGAGTGCCAGGAAAGTGATTAGGTGAAGCCCTAAGTGAATAAATGGGTGAATTAAGAGGATGGGAAGAAACAAGCAAGGTGCAGCAGTGAGCGAGGAGAGTTAATTGCTGCTGTATATCATGCAAGTTAGAGAGTTACGTTTATGGCAGAATCACACACGTGGAGCGATGTTCTCTATCTTTTATCATAATTATTATACTCAGGTAAAAGTGACTGCTCTAGTCTACTTTCTTTTCTCATGACGTTGTTGTCGTGACTACTTATGGACTGATGTGGTGGTCGTCAGTCGTGCAAGTTGAACCCCCTTCAACTGACCCTTAGCGATAATCATTTACACTTGAGTTAAGGAACTGCAGTTCAAGAAGTGTCGTAATAACTAACATTTTTTACACCTAGGTGTGGAGAAAAGCCAATGTCTCGAACAATTACTTTTTTTTACACCTATGTGTGAGAAGCAAAACACGGCTGATTTTACTAGCAGTTTCACACCTAGGAGAGACCACGTAACCAGCCCGTCAACAACATTGTTAAATGAGTTCACTCATAGAACGTCTCATAAATATATTGTTTAAGACACGAGAGAGGAATAAGCCTCCAGGCATCCCCGTATACTGTCAAAAATTATCATAAAACAAAAGTTGCAGCGACCACATCGTTCAGTAACGTAGGTATGTTTGGTCAGGCTCACTAAGGTTGGGATTATTTTAAGAGAATTTACATCATTGAAGCTCATCTGTGTCGCTGGAAGGAAGAAAAGTGAACCAACTATCAATATTCAGCCCAACTAAAAATAAAGACACTGGTAACAGGGAGAAACATTTTATTAGGAGGCAATCGTTTACCTGCAGTTTACCTGGAGAGGGTTTCGGGGGCCAACGCCCCCGCGGCTCGGTCGTGGGTGAAACGTCGTACTGAAAGGTTTCCTCTCCTACCAATCTTTATTTTCACTTATATATATGCTTTATTGTGTGCCATTAATTCTTCTGTTAAGACTGACAGTCTCCAGACGAGTAAAACACAGGGCAACAGTTGAGTATCTTTATTATCGATAAATTTCAGTCGAACACAGAGGTGACGGATATTGTAGACATCTTCTGCTGTCTACAACATCTGTCACCTGTGTTCAACTAAGGAAGCTTGCTGAGAAAGTGAAGCGTTTTGACCAAAATACTCAATTGTTGCACCTCCGTCTTGCTCATATGATCACATAATCTATTTTCGAATGTAATTCTCTGAGCCAGTCAGACGTGAGTTTGAAAAAGACGGTGCAAATTATTTTGGTTCTTACATAAAAGTAAACGTAGAAAGATGAGAGGTAAATTTCTTTCGTAAATTATAATTAACATCGGTTCCTAGATCAACTTAACATATAATAAATAGCTGGGTGACGTGTCTCGGCGACCTAGTGTACAGCAAGACTCAGATCTGCTAACTTCTATCATGTACAACAAAAAATAAAGATTATTATTACATTATTATTCTTATTTTAGTATTATTCTTTTTATTATTATTAATATTTTATTAATATTTTATTATTATTATTATTATTATTATTATTATTATTATTTTATTAATTTATTATTATTTCATTATTATTTTATTATTATTATTTCATTATTATTTTATTATTATTATTATTATTATTATTATTATTATTATTATTATTATTATTATTATTATTATTATTATTATTATTATTATTATTAAT